TTGTCTTAATCGTATTAATATCGGATTATTGTTGTCCATGTAAACATACTCAGTGAAACTTTCCGGTGCTGCTGTACCAAATATCAGCACTCTTGGAAGTAGTAATTAAACAAGTGATGTTTAATTATATAGCATTAAAATAATAAATATGAGTGCAATTATGATAGTGTTCTCTTGCAGTGTTCCAGTTGAGATTCACACTCAGTGGCAGCAGCAGGAATCCGCTCCATACTCCCCCAGCAGTGAACTTGACTCCAGCTCTGCCAGATAGGAGAGTCCCGGGAGCAGCCACAGTTGGGTGAAACAGGAACCAGAGCCTGAAGTCATCCAGTTGGAAAATATAAACTCTGAGGCCACCTCTGATGCTGAGAAGAACAACACTCTGAACAGTGCTGTCACTAGTATGATATTTTTCATTTCCTGAGAATCATTAGGATGAGATGAGCTCATTAGGATCATCATATTTCAATGATGGGACATAGGACATATTTCTTTTTCTCAGCAGCGGTACCTTCGATGGAGGGTTTACTCAACAGTGTTATGCTGACCATCACCAAACTTCAGTGCCTACTGGAGAGCAAACAGGAGAGGATTGAAGCTCTGGAGAGACAGGTGCAGGACCTACAGGAGGATCGCAAGTTCCTCCGCTCACAGATCGAGAACCTCACTGGCGCTCGCTTGGTTTCAGTGCCAGAAGGTGCGGTGGAAAAACGAAAAAAATAAATAAATAAACACTTAAACACCTTGCAAACTGTATACTATTGCATTTTAGAATTACCTTTTGCATTATTTATTTTTTTTATGATATTGTGTGTCAGCACAAAATGGTTTCACATTTCATGATATGCAGGTTTTTTTAGTATTAAAAATGTTAATATAATGTTTTCATTATGAAAACAAAACCAGATCAAATTGCAGTGTTTCTGGAGTATTTTATTTAGGGTGTAATGTATAATCTTTACATTTAAGAGAAATGTTGCAGAAATGTAGTGAAAATAATTTTGTTTTATAGAACTAAAATACAACCAAGCCACAATATAGTTAGTGAAACATTTTATTTGTTTTGTAAAACACTTAAACTATGCACTAGGGCTGTAAAAAA